AAAAAAAAAAAAAAAAAAAAAAAAAAAAAAAAAAAAAAAAACTTTGATATCCACTTCTTTCAATTTACTCACAAATTCAAGGCAATTTTTTTGCATATGTAAGTAGGTCAGACATCATTTTTTTTTTTTTTTTAAGAGACAGGGTTTCACCATTTTGGTCAGGCTGGTCTTGAACTCCTGACCTTGTGATCCGCCCACCTCGGCCTCCCAAAGTGCTGGGATTACAGGCGTGAGCCACTGCTCCCGGCCAAGACATCATTTTTTTTCTCACTTTGTCGACACATGGAATTCTTAAAAGTCACCACTTGTTCATTATCATCACTAAACATAGTCAGAGGCCAGGGGTTGTGCCAGGCACACAAAAATTTATCTTTATTCACTGTGTTCCAAGCACTGGCAACAGCATATAAGGTGTCCATGCTAAACTCCTTTTGAAAACTTTCTGGCAGGGCATGGTGGCTCATATCTATAATCCTAGCACTTTGGGAGGCCCAGGTAGAAGGATCACTTGAGCCCAGGAGTTTGAGACTAGCCAGGGCAACACAGCAAAAATAATTTTATGCATGAAACAAAGTTTGTGTACCCCGAACCATCAGAAAGCAAAGGAGTCACTATGTTAATCATCCATGGGAACAATCTGTGGTTGTCTTAATTTTAAATAAAAGAAAACATTCCACACCCACACCTCTATTCACCACTGCTAGCATAAGAAAATGTTTTTATATTTACTCTCATTGATCCAAGGATACCCTGGTCACATGGAATTAACAAAGTCACGTTTAGAGGAAGTACATGGCATAAACACTATTTTGTATGAGAATGTCAGCTGGTGGATAAGCAGAACAGTTGTCAAGGAATAACAAAATCTTGCAGTTGTCATCCAGTCCAATCTCCCAGCAGTGAGCACGAGCCACTGGTACAAAATGTTTGTGAAATCGATCTGAAAAGATGTCGATATCCATGGTGATCCATGCATGCCTTTTTGGTAGTAAAACGGACTGGTAAGAAATGCACTCCTTGAAAACAGTGAGGAAGGAAGCTTTTGCCTACCACAGAAAGTTTACATTTATGCATGCCTGCTACATCAGCATATCCTAACACAGTTATTCTATCGTTGGCATCCTTAATTCTCATCTCATCAGCTGCAGTCAGTGTCTTTCTGGGACAGTAATGCCAAAACAGTCTTGTTTCATCAGGATTATAGACTTGTTCTTGGGTCAGATTTTCAACAGCAATGACCTTGGCAAACTTGTCGATGAATTTCTTTGCTGCTTCATAATCACCATTTATCTAAATCACCATTAATCTTTAAAAATGTAACGTCACATCTTCTCTTAAATTTCTGCAAATGTGACAGGTGCGGTGGCTCACGCATGTAATCCCAGCACTTCAGGAGGTTGAGGTGGGCGGATCACCGGAAGTCAGGAGTTCCAGATCAGCCTGATAAACATGGAGAAACCCCATCTCTCCTAAAAATACAAAATTAGCCAGGCACATGCCTGTAATCCCAGCTACTCAGGAGGCCGAGGCAGGAGAATCACTTAAACCCGGGAAGTAGAGGTTGCGGTGAGCCAAGATCGCGCCATTGTACTCCAGCCTGGGTAACAAGAGCGAAACTCCGTCTCAAAAAAAAAAATCTGCATCTGGCCTGTTCATTATTCACAGTTCCCTTCATTTTAACTTCATCATGATAGCTCTTTGCTTGTTTCCTAATCAGCATTTCCTAATGAAGTGGCATGTATTTACTGTGATGCTGATGGATGCACTTTCAATACATGATTGAGATCTTCATTTCAGCTTTATGCAGTTTTCCTATTTTTAATTAACTTCTGTTCATCGCTTCCACTTCATATGTACTACTTCTGATATATATAAAACTTCAACAGTTTATCCTTCTTTTTCTTCAGGTCATATATAGCGGTTATTCTAACACCATACTCCTCTGTAAGATATTTCACACTTACACCATTGTTCAGTTTCTACAACACCTTAGCTTTCTGTGCAATAGATAAACATAAATGTTAACTCTTTTTCTTATCACTATAACCCATAGGGGTATCTGTGGGCCTTTTTGATATTTTTAACAACATGTTTATACCCAAGAGCAGGGAATAAGCAAGCAAGCAAACAAACAAAAACACACAATGAATAATGCATATAGATCTTGGCACCATGCAGGGCATCATGAGGAATTTGCTGTTGCTGTGACCAGTCTGAATACGTACCATTTTATTACCCTTCATGGGCATGCTTGCATGAGGAAATCTGGGCAAACTCAGAAAAGATATATTGTAACTGAAGGGAGCTGGAAGGGCCTTTTTTCCTTTGGGGATGCTGAATAAGCAATGTGTTGTTTGCTTTTGTTTTGACTTCAACCTGTCACATGAGGTCAGGTATGGAATTCACTGTACATATATTTTTTTCTTTTTTAAAAATTTATTTTTTCCCTCAAATTATTTTTTACCAGGAATTTTCCACCTGAGGAGTTGTGTGTGTGCTCAGATTTTGGAGCATTTCAGGTTTTCAGATTAGGGAAGCTTAATCTGTATTTTGAATATTTTTTAGCTGCAACAGTAGGAATCAAAGATCAAAACACAGCCAAAGCAACACAAGAGGGTTAGACAGAACCTAAACATTATTATTATTATTATTATTT